ATACCAGAAGATGGGGGAATGCTAGACCACGACTCTCTGCTATGTAGTTCGCTTGGCCTGTGTGTTCACTTCCTTTTCCTGCTGCCCTTGAGGTCTCTGGGATTTGCAGTCCAGAATCAGAGCAGCAGGACTCTGCAGGGCTCATCAGTTCCTCTTCCTGGTTTCAGGTTCCTCTGGGATTTGTATTCCACAGTCACAGTCAACAGTAAGTTTTTAGTAGGGTAGGGCAGCTCTGTACTAGAGGAAAAGGAAGTTTAACCCCCCTCCCTGGCCCCAGACCCCAGCCATGGTTTGCCCGGGGGGGGGGGCAGGAAGAAGGGGAATGTAGTCTGTGCCTGCCCTCCCCAGCCCTTCTGTTCTGGAGAAAACAGCCCAGCCCAGGGATGGAAAGCGTGCTAGGATATGCTGGAGGACTCTGACTTAACTTGAACCAGGAAGGGGTCTGAGACATAAGTTTCATAAACTGGTTTGACCAAAATCAGTTAGGTATCATACTACATTCAACCAAGTTTAGCTTAAACCAGTTGAAACTAGTTTATGTGCACTGAACTTCTGTTCTGTTACAGGTTTAAATCAGTTTCTGATGACTTAAACCAATTTATGTGTAACTTCTGTCTCTAGTCTTCAGGTGTCTACAGTAGAAACGTGTACCAATTTAACTATGTGGCTATAAACATACAGGGGCTTGGTTTGCCATACTGAGTTCTAAACTTCCCCATCTGAGGTTAGACGAACTGCCTGCTCTTATCTTTACTGTATGCTCCTGGAGTGAAGAGAAGCTTCAGACTTGGGCCCCTGGCGGATATGCAAGTAAAGGCACCATGGGATCTGATGTGCAATCCCCACAATGGCATCTCCTGCTTGACCACATGTGCATGGCAGGAGGCGTGACTGTGGGATTGAGTATACGGTCCCAACATGCCTTATTGCCAGTACAGGGGGAGCCCAGGATCATGATTCTGAGCTTCCCCTGCACTGGCAAGTAGCAAGCTCCTGTGGCTGGGAGCCCATGCCAGAAGCCCCGTCAGCTGATCTGGTGTCCCAACTGCGGAGGTGCACCACACACCCCTGAGGCTGGGATCCCCATCAGCTGACAGTGTCTAGCCTTGGTGGTAGCTGGGAGCCCAGATCAGCTGACGGGACTCTCAGCCACGGGGAAGCACCCAGGGCTAGGAGCCCCAGCCTGACCACATGTTCAATTAATGTTGTAATAGGAACCAGTCACAAAATTATTTTTTGTGTAATAACTTTGTGGCTTATTTTTTGTTTTATCAGGCTATTCATTGCATTAACATGTGGCTGGGTAACAATGCTAAGACATGATTAACTGTAACGTATGCCAGGGGTGTTGCTGCCAGGGGTCTGATCCTGCTTCTGTAGTATCAGTGGCAGCACGTGTAGCCCGTTTTCTACAAATGAAATTGCTGTTACTACATTGAAACACATCTGTACTTTCTAAGGCTGGATGAACTGACTACATTTTATAAGAAACTCAAGCCTACTTTGGTCTCAGTAGTGTTTCTGTCAGCTTGCATTATCTATACCACCCATCATACCATTCAGCAGTCACAAAAGTCTTGTTCTAGGCCAATATTTGCCTCCTTATAACATGTATGTGCTGTATCTTTGCCTTTATCACAATAAATGCTGATCACAGGACTAAATGCCTTGGGCTAAAAAAAACCCTTATCTGATGGAAAAGATTTCTGTTCTAAGTTTTTTGTGTCCTGTATGACAGATCAGATTTTTAAAGGGATCAAGGCATTGCTTGGCCTAATCATTTGATTTGTTGCTGTTTTCTTGCTACAGAATTAACCATGACACCACTTTCCCATTCATTTCTTGAAAGGTCTGCTCTTAATTGCTGTCTACCTTCTGAGAAGGCAGTTAAAAAAAACGTTACTACTAACATGTGGTGACCTGAATTTGTATGAACTTAGAATACCCTTAAATGCCAGATAAGCAGCAGCTAGCTCAGACCTCACAGCGTTTGTTTAAATTCATCTGGGGGCCTTAAAAGATGTGGACTAAAGTAATGTTGATCAATGAAGTGGAAAACTCATGCTTCAGTTACGAGACAGAGCTCTTCCCCCTCCCCATCCCAAAAGACACACGCACACAAAATAAACACACATGCTTGGCAATTTGCAAATATAACCCTTCAGATGGCAACAGAACAAAAAATGGGCTCAGTGCTAACAATTTATTAGTAGCTACAGTTAGTGAATTGAACTGTTTCAACAGGTGCCAGTGGACTGTCATAATTCCTTGTATTGCTCCATGAGTTGGCTCATAATGAAGCTGTACAACAATAACTAAGAAGGTATTTGAGTTGATGTACCTTAAAAAACCCCAGTATTTTAGTCAACCTGGGCTGAAACATATGCCCACGGTTCTCCACCCACAGGCCCCATTGCTAGGACCCAAAAGATATTTAGGCACCTAATTCCCAAATCTGTTCCATGCTGCTGGATTTATTCCTCATTTCCAGCACCCTCTATAGATGTCTAGGCTGTCTCTTACAAAGAAGAGACAGTAAAGGCAGCTGGAATCAAGGAGAAGCCTGTCTAGCTGTCTACTAGAAGCTACTATTTTAGAAGAGCAGAAAACAGAATGGATGGCTTCAGGGATTAGATGGCTGCCAGTGAGACTGGGTAAGCAAATCACTAGCTATAGGGAACTAGGTAAAGGAGAAGGAAATGTAGCATTGGCCAGTACAGTGCAGGATGTCAAGTCAGTGTAGGAGGAAAGGAGAAATCAGGCAATAGAATATAAATTAATGGGCAATGTTATGGTAGAACAATGTTCTTATGATAGACCATGATTCAGGAAAACTTCATTACACAGGAGAGCTCTTAAATGAGTGCTTAACTTCAGATCCCTTGACTAAAAACTGACTTGTGCACATGCTTATGTATGTTCCTGAATGAGAACATATTCCAATGGTAAGCGTGTTATTAAAAATCAGCCATAGGTAGAAAACAAGCATTAAACCAAGGTCTAACAGATAAAGCTAAGAGCATGTTTGCTTTTAGGTACAATTGCTCCTATTATTTTTCTTTTTCAAAGAAGACATTGGTTTGTTGGAACTGGTGGGAAGCTTCTCTGGAATAGGGGTGTCAGAAGTATGGCTTGTAGGCTGGATCCAGTCTGGCCTATGGTGCTGTCTCCTGCAATGCAGCATTTGCTGGAACCAGTACATGCAGCACGTAGAGTCTGTCTGGCATGGGCTGCATGTAGCATGGGGCTGGTTTGGGGTGCCTGTGCTAGATTGGCTCTGCATTGTGGATCTGGCCTCAGACATGGGCTGTCTGTACCAGATCCAGCATATAGGGCTTCTCCAGTATAGGGACCACATGCAACACATGCCTCAGACTGGCACTGTCCCCCTTCTCCAACTCAGCAGGCTGGATGAGTTTGACACCCATGCTCTAAAATAACTGTCCTCCTAATTTGCCAATCCCAGAGGCTCCTGAAGTTGCAACAGGAGATGGACCTTTTTAGCAAAATGATGGTGCTGTGAAGGGGCAGAGTCCTTTAATGCATCTCCATTAACATTTTCCAGGAAATCTGTCACCATTGACTTCATCAGTGACAATATGATGGGGGCAGCTTTCCCAGACAATGCTAGGGAGATAAAGTCTGGTCTAGCTGGATTTTGAATAGATCAGGAAGAGCAGGATTTATTTATCTTCATAATCCAACCAAACTGCAACCACAATCCAAGCTCCAACCAGCCACAGGAAGTCAGAATTACTCACATATTTCCTGTCCCCGCCCCCCCCGCAACAACTTTTCAGAAACCTCCTTCAGTCAGTTTTTGCAAAACAGCACCAGGCTTACAAATATCCTGCTAGCAAATTAATAAATCCTAAAACAGCAGAAATCCACCCATACCTTAGATAGGTAACTGGTGCTTATGAAGCTAAAGTTAGCCATGTAAGTGGCATCTGGGGACATGTATGTGGATTTTAGATCCTACTATCCTCTGTGCAACAAACTTCCCTTCTGCGTATGCTGAGAAGGGATCTGCTTCAGCCACTTAAACTCTGCTTGTGATTCTGTTCCACCCAGTAAAGCACATAATCTCCACATAAGGTCTTCAAATAATAGTTGCAGGAATCCACACCCTTTCCCCTATACCTCCCAAGAGGTTGCTGGTTGTAAGTGCTTGTGTGGAAGTGAAGGCATTCATTTCTGAGCACTTCCAGGCTCCTGTCTCAGATCACAGGGAAGTGCCACTTTAAATAAATGTTAGAGGGCTTAGGATGGTTGCTGCGTGGCCTGTGCCTCAGCATCATGGCCAGTATCAGGTTGAGAAGCCAGAGGTCATCCAGTTGCAGGAGTCAAGGGCATGATGCTAGAACTAATTTCTCTAAGGGAAAAATCGTAACAATAAACATGTCTGTCAGCCAACTAACAGATATCTGGGAATTAGTCTTGATCCAGGTGAAAAGGGGGCTCAGGTGATGCTATGGGAGGATGAGAGCAGGGAAGAAAGGACATGAAAAAGAGAACGATGCTTCTGTGGGCACAGGTGAAAATGGCCTTGCAGGGGTTAGTGATGAAGGGGTGAGGGAAAGGTTTAGGTATTCCCAGATCCTGGGATATTTGCAGGTAGTTGGCAACACTCTCATGGCCAGTCATTAGTGAGAAGCAGCTGCGCACCACAATGGCATGACTGAGGCCAGGCAGGAGACTCAGTAGAATGGGAAGATCTTATTTTAATTATTTCCACTTTGTGTCATGGCAAAGACCTAACTGGAAACCGAAGGGAGACTGAACTGACACCCATGAGCACAAGAGGACTTGTGTCAAGCACTATCATGTACCAGAGATGGTGCGAGTTTTTTAAGAGCTGATTTTGGTATAATGCTTCCACCCATTTATATCTTTGTTCAACAGATTACTTATCATACTTAAAAAAAATCTTCTGAAGCAATCTGTGCCTCACCTGGGTTAATGGGAGGGAAACAAAGCCAAAACACAGACTCCTAAGCAGTGCAAAACACAACTGTTATTATTCTTGGATTCTTAAATTGTTAACAGTCTGGCTTTGCAGGATCTGTTCCAACATCCTGTTCACACAAAGCAGAAGTCGCACCTGCTTTGGTTAGAGGAATTTCAGTGTTGCTATCTTCCAAACTAAACTCCAGAGCTCCGGCACAGGCATTATTAGCTCTGAATGCTTCTGAATAGGTTTCCTTTTAGTAGTTCAAAAGTGCAGCTTGCTTGCAATTCAAGCTGTCCCCAGGCTTATCCTGAATACCTGATAGGAAACAAGCCTCCTTTGTAAACTGTCTCTTGGACTGGTCTGAAAAAGGTGTCTTAGGCATTGGCAACATGTCTGACATGTTGGTGTTGCCTTTTCTCTGATGCAGCATCTTCCACAGAGCTGGAACGCAAAGAAGTCCCCTGGAAATCAACTCTATGAGCCACAAAGCAGTCATCTTTCCATTGTTTAATTGCTTCCCTCTGCTCCTCAGGTGTCAGTCTGTCAAGGTGCTTGGCTCTCAGTACCGGAGAAGGAAACAACGTCCCTTGGAGAACTCTGAACAAATACCTAGAATATAACCAGTGTTTCACATAAGTCCTTCAGAAGCAGATTCAAATTGTTTTCAGCACTACTTAAAAGGCTTGAACAGCAGCACTTAGAGACAGGAGAGGGGGCATTCTGCTTTGTACTAAGTATGCAATATACCTGCAATCTCAAGGCTGCAGTAGCTTAGAAAACAAGGAAGTCTATCTCTGCTGGTATACTTTTGCACACAAATAATGATGACTGCAATTTTGCATCAGAACAAGTCAGGGTAACAGTTTCCAAAGTGCTTGACACAGAGGTTGTGGAATCTCCTGGAGAGGTTGTGGACTCTCCATCCTTGGAGGTTTTTAAGACCTGGCTACACAAAGCCTTGGCTGGAATGATCTAGTTGGGGATGGTCCTGCTTTGAGCAGGGGGTTGGACTAGATGAACTCCTGAGGTCCAACCCTAATTTTCTATGATTCTATTGTGGAAAATCAGACCTAATATGTACAAACACTCTGTTCTTCAATGGAAAACACTCATGATGAAGCTGCACAATAACTAGGAAGGTATTTGGGACACCAGCAGGAGTATTCAAAATATCTTTTAAATTCTCTTTGTTGCATGTGTCATGGTCCTTAAAAGGATAAATAAGTGTGGTATTGAAGGTTAAGCAATCCAAAGATTTAGAGGCACACTCCAAAGCCAAAGCATGACTCTGGAACAGAACTTGGCATAATATATTTTTTAAATTGGCCATGTTGAAGGTTTAGCTTGGGTAATGTTTTCAATCAGGGATTGTGTTAAGATTTTCAAAGGGCTCTAATGAAAGTAGACACTGGATTGCCAGTGATGCTCTGTAGAAGATGGGTACTCAACTACCTTCAACCCTTTTGAGAATCTTAGTCTCTACCTAATCCGTCAAAATTATGAACATGGTTTAAAGTCACAGAGAGTGATGAATTTCAGGCCCCTTGTAGGATTTGATAGGAATAAGCAAGAAAAAAGTATATGTAACAGTTATCCCATGATGTAAACAGACATAATTCTATTTAATCACTTAACTAAGTGAACAAAAGGGTCTGTATTAGGCAGAGCTGATGTAACTCTTGTGGGGTATTGGCACTGAGAGACTGAAACTCACTCAAAGAACCTCATTTATAAATCTAAATGCTCTGCATTTAATTAACCATGAAAAATACACTCCTAAAAGTGGAATATGTATGTGTTTGAAATAGTCAGTCAGTTGAAAGCATTCTTCTTCCAAGGCTCTTGCAGTTACATAAAGAGTCTTTTTTTACATTAAAAACAAAACAAAACTGAGGACTGAAACAATCACTCAGAATCAGGCACAGCACAGGGGGAAAAGAGTGTGGAAAATTCTTACACACCTCATTTTCAGGCCTGTATCTCCCTCTGCCAATTCAGCTGCAAAACCTGAGTCAAAGTTGGCAGTCATGGGCTATTATGCATATAAAAATACCAGGCTGATAAGGTTGTGTTCTGAGGTTCAATGACTGAGACTCACAAGGGGGATTTTGGTGCTCAACTGCCATTAGATTGTGTGTGACTAAGTCTAAAATTTAGATCTTCAAAACTCCAACCTAATTCTCAAAGCACCCTAATTTCCCAGGTGCTCATTTCTATCAGTAAAGTGCCAGAGGAGACTAATTTGGAGCTCTGAAAAGTGTAAAATATCTTCTGGTTTAAATTTGAAGGGCAGGATTTAGACTGTAGCCTGTTATGGAAATCTTGTATTTGCATACATCTACCTAGATCCCTGGCACATGTTCACTTAAAGCCACCATGGGATCTGGTTCCCAATCCCAACAATTGTGTCTCCTGCCTACATGGGAGGACATGCGATTTTGGGATCAGGGATCAGATACCAATACAGCCCTTTCTAGTTGCCAGTGCAGGGGAATCCTGGGATCATGATCTTGTGTTTGCCCTTCGCTAGCAAATAGAAGATTAAATGTCCACAACCCAATGTGACCCAATGTGGCCAACAAACCAGGTACTGATTGTTGGCTCCAGCCCTGGAGCAGTTCTGAAAGTGCCACACATTTCATCTAAAGTGCCATATGAACCAGCCATAAAAATGTTCTACATCGTATGTGAAACATCTTTATGGTTGGTTTGCATTTTTATGGAATCTTAAATTGGCTGTACATTTTAATGTACGCCTTGCCATTTATACCATAATTAACATGAGTAATCATGGCCCATGTGTAACACCTAGAGGGGCCCCTAGTACAGTGACTCCTATTTTTTCATAAATAAGCTGGGCAATATTCTTTATACTTTTAGTTCTTGTATAAGCTCTTCCACAAAGCCAGATTGATTTATAGGTAGGAACATATTAAATTTGAGGTGGCTGTCTGCTGATTTCACAGGCTGGATATAGGGCC